AAATTTCTCTGTGTACCTCTCTTCTCTTCTCTCTCTCTCTCTGTCTGTCTGTCTCTATCTCTCTTTCTATCTGTCTGTCTCTGTCTCATGCAAACGCACACGCACACGCACACGCACACACACAATCTCACACACACACACACACACACACACACACACACACACACACACACACACACACACACACACACACACACACACACACACACACACACACACTCACATATAAGCCACATAGTTATTATCGTCTAAAATGGATGGCATTGGTGGTGCGCTTATATATGAATCTCTCGTTCGTTAAAAGACTGTGGGTCACTGAGGGAACAAGTGTTTTGGTTGCTCTGATTAAAGGATAACAGGCTATTAAACTATCACAGGGTGCAATTTGGAGGGGGTGAGGGCAAGGCTATGAAACTCCCAGTTTCATAAGGACTGCTTGTTAGAATTGAGTTGTTTAGGCTAAGTGGCTGTCAGATTCCTTAGTAATATGGTCAGGTTTTACATTTTTAGCAGAGTTTTTATTTTATTTATTTATTTATTCTTTATTTATTATTATTATTTTTTAGAACGAGTAGAACTGGTAGAAATACAGAACTCGCCATCACAGAAAATGGTTCACTGACGCCCTTGAAATTTCCCCCATTGCTGCTACGACAATAAGTAACAGTCCTGCAGGATCATTCTTTGTTGATAGTTCACTACACCTCTTAAAAATTAGAAATGTAGCATGGGAACGTCCATGGAAAGTTTAACCTCAAGTCACCAAGAAAGAGGAGTCCTTTATATGGAATTATTTTTGAGTTCTATCGTGCTATGGCTCTTACGTTAACAACACTACAATTATCCGGGACATGGTGTTTCGCCGACAGCACGTTCGGTACCCTGGGCTTTGTCAATTCTTAAAGGTGGTACCCTGAGGAGTTTCTGCTTCCTCCGATGTGGCGTTAAGGAGATCGATACTACGATACTACTACCGCAAGTAAGTTACAGCCTCATAATAACTATTAAAAGAAATTATGATGTAGACAGAATTTGTGTGGTAGGTCAGTGGACATTCTCTGACGCATGCTGGACTCGGGGACATTTTTTGTGGTTATTCGTTCCTCCATTTTATCTAAATGTGTATTGCATATGGAATCGTGAAAATCTATGGGGTTTCATCTTTTTCTTCCCACACATTTCTTCCGGTTCGCTCCAGTTCATATCTGATTCAGTCTGATAGAAACTGGATGACTGTTGATGATGTACGACAAGTTGCGAATACTACAGAGTTGATAAGTATGAGATATTGCCAGGTAAACAGCTTATTGGCATTCAGCTTAGCAGGCAATTTTCGAGGCGGTTTACGTTAGGTGAATTTTATCATCTACTTGAATATGGTGACATTCCCGAGTTACAACGTTCTTACTAGTATTATGAGGAATTTCCAAAGGCTATTGAAGAGTAAGCCGGTTATTAATTGGCAGTTTTTGATAACCTCTTGCAATTACTACTCACTGGAGATTGTAAGCATTGCAGAGATCCAAGCAGCAGGCATTTCATTGTCCAGACTATAATACACAGGCGTTATAAACAGCTATAGCATATATGCGAAAGACAACTTCAGTACCATCTAACCCTCTTTTAACCAGTATGTTCACAGATGTAGTTGTTTCAACATATTTTTTTTTTCTACTGATGTGGCAGTGTGAATTTCTCGGAGTTTGCTGGCAGGTTTAAGGAATGGAAAATATGTTTAATAAAGCACATAAGAATTGCCAGAATTTTGCTACATTTAACCAATTTCTCCACTCTCTCTACCCTCACCCCTCTTTACCCCTTTCAATAGCGGGCTATCCTAAACTAACTGCACTTTTGGCGTGTAGCACATTTAATACTTAACCGAACGCCCCTCTACGCTTGTCACTACTACACCTTACTATATGACCTTTGATGTCGAGCATGGTTATTTTACATTGTAACCATTAACCATATTCATTTTATTTACTCATTTGGTTTGGTTCTGCTGTTGAATTATATGTATTTGTAGCTATGAGTGCAATGACTAAGTCACAAATTCATGAAATTCATTGTTTTATAGTTAATGTATAAGGAGAGTGATGAGG